GCATGTATTTAACAATGTCAAACATGTGTCATATGTTTAACCTGAAAATTGGAAGGTCCAAAATTGTCAGATGAAGGTGGTAGGTGTCGCGTCAGTCACGCACGGAGCGAATATGACGGGAAGTGTACATTAAAGCTTATAAAATTAAGTCACAATAGGTAAATTTTTTTGGAAGTCTCTGTTATGGCTTCGGTATCGATGGCTTTTGACGACAATTTTCGATATTTTCTTTTCACAGAATAAAATTTTTCACTTCTCCCAAGATGAAGTTGTTTCTCGTTGTTTTTTTTTGTAATTTCTCCAGGATTTGGGTTTTATATTCATCACTGCTGGCATCTAATTTCTGCGAAAAGGAAGATATTTCCGCTTTTATAGTGTCATAGTAGCCACAGGTGTCTTTTCTAGAAATCCCGAATCCAATATTAAACTGTGTTTCAAAAATTTCGCGAAAGTTGTCATACGATAATTAAGTATCGGAATTTTTATAGTATGTAACTTAGTTATTATCTGACAGTGGACCAAATTACACGGAAACACTTTTAATTTATTAAGTTTGGCGGGAAACCGAGATAAATTCGTCAGACCAACCGTTAACCTCCAGTAGGAGAGTGCAATGAAAGAAGAAAACAGTTAACGTTGGTTGAAAGTTAACACGTCTGATAGCTCACTAATAGACAGTATTATCTGCTATCTATGTTACATATTGATATCATGTCAATTCGTTTGATACTTTTTTTATAGAAATAGAAATAGAAATAGAAATATGCTTTATTGTCACTGACAATTGTACAATTTTATGGACAAAGCTTACATAAAGTCAAAAAAAATTAACAAAACATTTTAAATTTACTAAACTATTTTTTATGTACCCAGCGTTATTCAAAATTTTCTGAGATTGGAAATTCTTTACAAGAAACTGGCACATTGTCAAAATTCAATAATTTGTTTACGAAGATGTAGAGATAACAACCTAATACCAAAGGGCTTGAAGTTATGTCAGCATATTCAAGCAGAAGGTTGGAAAACATTCTACATTAAGCCAGGTTGTTGTTAATGGCAATTTCATAGATCTAATTTATTTTTTGTTGAATAAGATATTGTAAGTATTGAAGATTTGCTTTTCAGTGTGATATCAAATTCTGATTTTGATCAAATTATTTTTAGTTTACATACAGTATATAAAAATTCATATAAGAAACAAAGAAATATACATTTAAATAAATTTAATATTCTTTTAGAACACAATAGTATACACACTTTAGACACAGAATATTTGTTTATTATTCTGTGCTTTAGATAACCTCAATAGAAATAATGACATATTAGCGTCAATTAGTTATCAATCTATCGTCTATTAGCGTTTATAAGTTCAATGTTTTTTTTTGCATTCTTATTTAATTTTGTCTTCATTAATGATTTTTTTCTGTTTCGTTCCCTAATACAATCCTTAATACAATACAAAGGCTATATTTTCATTCTACTGTTTTATTTAGGTTTATTTATAGATATTTAATAAAAATTTCTTTGTCAGACGAGTATATGTACTCAAATATTATTGCTACATTAAAAAAATTAGATTTTATGTACACAATGTTACAATAAACAGCCACTTACAACTTCAAAGTGACTCTTACCAACACTTTCAAGTCTAAGCGTGAGGATTAATTGGATAATTCTAAGACAATTGAAAAATTACGGCAACAGTCATCTTATCCGAGACATCCTCAGGACAAACCACTATATTCCATAACAGGAGGGAAATAAATGAAATGTGCATTGACCTATGTCTCTGATTAAAAACTTCGCTCGGCGGCATTGCAAATCTCTATTCAGTTGCTAAAAATCTTTCTCAGTTTAGTTGCTAACAATTGGTGATGAGTTTTATTGATTTGTGTCGGTAATCTAAGGTAATGTAACCAGATTTCTTAATTTAATATTATTATTCATTGTAGTATATTTTACATTTTATTTTCATACGTTATTAATATTATAATAATACGATTTAAGAAATATTCCTGGAAACGAATACGCTTATTTTGTTTAGTAACAAACTCACTCCAATCCAATATTAATTAAGGATCACTCGAAGAGTGGTGGGTTTTTCGGTCAAAAGGTGGAGAGAAAAAAGACAAAGAAGGTGGCTACTTCATCTATTTATTGAAGACGTTTCGCTTTCTAATCAGAAAGCATTATCAGTTCATCTAAAAAGAACAATATGAAAACCAAACATCCATAGAAAAGTTATTATAAGTGTGTTACCTTAAAAATACCTGCAGCAGTCAATGATATTAAATATGTAAAGCTCACGACATTGGACATTAAGTGATTATTTTGTATAAACAATTAATTGAGACTAAATACAGTGTACAAATTAACTGAGGGGAAAATGGTGATCTTAACCATCTTTTTCTTTCATTTTTTGGTTTTTACTGATAAGTTTGTCACCTAATTTTATCATATTATTTAAATTTACGCTCTATTGCACTAGAGGTTGGTAATTCGCCTTGATGTTCTGTCATATTTTGACCTCAAGGCCACTGTCTTTTCACGTTGATGGCTTGGGTTTCTACTTGTTGCTTCCATTTTACCGGCAGCAGCTAAGAAGCTAAGAGTGGTAACCTCATTATACTTTTAAATATTACTATATTTCAATCTTAATCATTTCAATAATGTTACCTAAAGTTGAAATTAAATTTAACTAATTGTATACTGTTGAAAGTGCATCTTATGATCTTTTTAGTTCTCTGCAAATTAATGTTTTTTACTAAAGCTTTTTTACACAATTTTATATACATGTATAATTTCCACATGGTCTTTTGCTGCGCTAAGTTAATTTGTAAACTGTATTTAGTTTCAATTATTTGTTTATACAGTATAATCACTTAATGTCCATTGTCGTAAGTTTCTGTATATATTTAATATCATTGACTGCTACATGTCTTTTTGAGGTAACACACTGATAATAACTTTTCTATGGATGTTTGGTTTTTCATATTGTTCTTTTTAGATGAACTGATGATGGTTTCTGATTAGAAAGCGAAACGTTTTCACTAAATAGATGAAGTAGCCATCTTCTTTGTCTTTTTTCTCTCCACCTTTTGACCGAAAAAATATGGAATATTTTTAAATTATCGTAAATATGTTCAGTGTGATGGGTTCATGTTACCAAAACACTTTTTCGTAACAGAAAACTTTCTTTCTTCTACAACAAGTTTAGAGTAAATAATTTTAAAAAAATAAACGCATTTTAAGTAATAGTTTAAAAAAATTAAACATTGTAATTTTTGGAATGCAAACAAAAAAAAGCTTGAAACTAAGTATTATTTATGACGTCAAATTTTAATGTTTTGTTTAAGAAAAAATAAAATTAATAGTGAGTATTCCCTCCTCAAAAGTCAACAACTAATGCTTGTAACATAGTAACAGGATTTCTTTTCCGAATGCAACGTTTTAAAGTGTCCTACAAATGCTCGTTCGGATTTAAATCCGGGCTATATGGTGGTCAATTTAATCGTTCAAATTGAACCTTACCAAGGTAAGCATTCACTATTCTAGCGACATGAGGACCTGTGTTATCGTGCATTAGCACGAATTTAGCATATCCAATATAGCCGGCAAATGAAAAACATAATCTTTTAGAACGTTTTTAATGTACCTACATGTCAGCTGTCATTAGCTCAATCGCCTCCAGAAGTTTGATATGGCCTTCCCAAACGATTACCAAAACTAATACTTGTAGGCCACTAGCCCCTATTGGCTAAACACATTTTAAGGGTGGTGTTATTACCCTAGGAATATCGAATTCTGACTGCTTTGGTGTGTTTCATGTTATAGGTATGTTTGTGTAAAAATTATCATGTTGTGCACACAACATATATGCAACACACAATACACGCATAAATAAATCAATTGCTCAATTTACGTTACACAACCACAAGATGATAATTTTTCTCGTTTATGCTTCTTACATTTCTTATTGCCATTTTTAAAATGGCCTCCTTGTTTGCCATTACGTTGGCTTTTAAATGTGGTTTATTTCTGTCTGTGTTATCACCTTTATATTTCCTCATGTCCTTATTCTGTGCTTTTTCCATTTCCCTTTGCGTCCACATATTTTCTTTCACCAGTTTTTGTAACTAGCTGACACTATTCTTTGTAGCTTGTTGTATCATGTTTGTTTTTTGGCTCCTTGACTTAAACAACCTTTTGAAAAATTTTAGATCCTTGCCAAATATAATTTAAATAATTATAGTTTAATAAGTCTAATACATATAGAAGCAATATCTTTAACATAGCATTTATAAAACTAAAGGAAAGAGCTTTTTTGTCACTGAGATAAAATGGCGACATCAATCATTCGGAACAATGATATTATAAACGTAAAAGAATAAGATCACCGATAAACACCTCTCAAAAGTTGTATCTAAACATCAAAGAAATTAGGATCAGTATATTCTGCAAGAATAAAACCTTTGAAGTATGTGATCTTGCGTGGCTTTATAATCCACAACGTCGTCGAGGCTTGTCTCCTCAACTGCAAAGACAATGGGAAGGTCCGTACAACATTAAAAGAGAATAAATGACGTAATATACCGAATTAAGAAGTTGCTTGCCAAAAGGTAAACCAAAAATTGTTCACATAAATCGTCTTGCTCACTGTGTTACCAAAGACCTTGAGATGACTAAAAGAATCTCCTTCCTATTCAATAAGAATATGATCAAATCTTTGATCAAATCTAATACAGACAGGTTAAGCTAAGAGGACATATGGCGTGCTTTAACTAATTTGAAGAAAATCTTGTGCAATTATGACATCATGAGTCATAGGCCATGCACTAGAAAATCTAAATTGGAAGGTTGTCAGAAGCATGCTTGAAGTGATCTTCCGAGAATTCCGATGTAATTTTCTGTTATAAGTAATAAATATAATAAATAAATTTAAATGTGTTAAATATCTATACACATCTATAAGCTATATTAAAACAAACTAATGTTTTTATAGACATTTACTTGAAACTAAAATTCAAAGCAAAATGGACTCATATTACGGTGAAGATAACGCGGAAGACCTTGATAAAGAATGGGAGGACTTCACAAAATTATTGGAAAAGAAAAAACGAAACAGTTCGCAAGGATTTTATCCGTGTCCTCCTCCAGAAGATGTAGAAGATTACGTACAAACTCTGGTAAGTATTTCTATATATTTAAATTAAAAAAATATATAAAATAAACGAAAAAAAAATTAATTATTAACTTAGTGCCTTTCTCAATCTACTCATTTTACTATTATCACCAAAGGTAAAAAAAATAAATAAAAATAAAATTAATTAAAAATTCCTTGGAAAACACTAAATCGACCTCTACAATTTTGATAATATTCTTTTGCTGTCATTCCGCTAGCTCAGATTTGTTACATTATGATATGTTACAATCAATATCAAAATTGAATAATTGAAGAAAGTAGAAAACCCAATAAATCTACATTTCTTATTTACCATAACAAAAACATATTGTGGTTGTAATACATAGCAATCGTGAGATAAATCATTTTTGATGACGAATATAAATATTATTTAATCAAAATTACCAGCAGGTCAACAGATAGTTAGAATCGTTTTCATTACTCTATTTTTAAAGAAATTAATAAACAAAATAAATGTAATAGGTGGGTGTTGCAGTGTATAGAGTTATGATTTAATAAGTGAACCATACCGAAATTGTCAAAAATGTAGGTACATTTTTAGAATTATTTTGTCAGTTTTGTAGTACATTAAATAAAAAATATTTCTTTGTGTAAGAGGTAATTTATTATAACGCACGTAATATGATACCTACAAAGATTTAAAAAAACAACAAAAATGTTTTCAGGGAGCTTAAAATGAGTTTTAAAATATTTTATTAAAGTAGTTACATAATAATTTTATTTGTTTCAATGACTCTAAAGAGACTTTTGTGTTTTAATACATGCATTGTCTTATGTCTCACCCTATCAACTAAATACTCACACCGTTATGTATGCTGATTATTTGAAAAACATCTTAAAAATCTTCAAAAAGCGTATTTATTGAATATATACATAAATTTTGAAATATTTATCGAATAGTAAAAACTTAATGATTAAAAAAACAATGAAACAGTTGGATACTTTAGACTCAGAAATATATTCACCTGGTCAAATAATTAATATGTTTTTTTTATTTAAACAAATATACCCGCATCAAGCACTAAGTGTTATTAGCGAGGAGACAAACACACACAGTAAGATACATATTGTTACATAAAAAAAATATTTTTTACAATCTGGTATATAGTTTATTCATTTTAAGATAATTTAATAAAGACTGTAAGTTTGACGTTAGTACACTTTTTAAATTGTTACTAAGGGCACACGCGATTCTTTCGTTCTGGTACACTGGACACTCGACAATTATGTTTCACTGACAACTGAGTGTTGCATTTGGTACACATCGGAGCATACTCCTGGTTGAAGACGTGCTTGTGGGTAAGGAAAATATGTCCTATTCGGAGTCGGTTGATGATGACTTGGTCTTTTCTATTACTTGTTAAGATGAGTTTGATTCCTACTTGACTTAGACATTCTTTGAGTTTGTTGGCCCTGTGGGCTTTGATATTTACTTTGTTATCAGTTCAAGGCATTTGATTTATGATAGCAATACTTTGCACGGTTGTTACATTGCTTTAAAGAGAGTCCACTTCCTCATTACCACTTATTCCCATATGGAAAGGTACCCAGATGAAGAAAAAATATTTTTGTTGAGTCTGTAGATAAGATAATTCTTCTTTGATCTTGGGAAGTATGGCGTGAATTGTATATAGTTGTATATATTTGAAGACTCCGTTAGTTTTTTGTACTTCAGAAAGGATAAGCTGTAATTGGAATCACTATAATTAAGTTCATATATATTTCCTAGTATTTCTGGAACATCTTCTTTGTTTGAATGCATTTGATTATTGTATAATAGAGTATCCATACCTCTCAAGTATTTTGTCCCTTTTATTCTGCGGACTTTGTTCCATATGTTGCCTAAGGGAGTATTATAAGTTTATATTTTGTTGTTTCTAGACTAGTAATGGCTATTGACACAGCTACAATTTACATTTTTACACAATATTATATAAGTTTAAACCATTGTTTAGATTGCTTTGCTTTACTCATCGAGCAATAAGACAAAAGAGGGAATCTAATCCTTATGAAAAGGAGACCAAAAAAGTGGCCTCTGATGGAGGACATATCCGGAAATGCGAATGCGCGAAATTTAAATTTTCCGACACTTATCAACAGTAGCTATATAATATTTTTCAGAATGTGTCTAAGACGAGAAAGTTTTAATTAATTGTTAATGATAAGAGTCTAAAATGCGACACAATTGTTAAAAAACTTCAATATAAATAAGATTTCATGTGACATTTGGGACAAACAATAACATAACCCAACTAAATTTGATGTCAAACAAGGAGAGAGACTCTCTATCCTTGTTTAAAGTGGCCTCTAAAGATCGCACTTCCTGTCTAACAATATGTTTGCCCCCACTACCTTTACATTCCCTCTATTGTCTTTTTGCTCGATGGCTTTACTTTAAGGGTGACTTTTAGGTTACAACATAAGCTCATGTTTGGCTAATTCCACGTCAACTATGCAAAATTGGTCAGGCGACCTCTCTTGATTTGATTTACCAAATTTCAACCTTTTAAGTCTAAAATAGCGGTCTTTATGAGTAATTCAATTTTTTCCAAGAAAAAATTTTCTTCTTGTATTTTGTTACTATTTCTCGCATAACCGGCTCTAGATATCTTGTGTCTTTCTTTCAAAATTTAGAAAAAGTTAAAATGTAAGTATATATTTTAGGGTAAAAATAAGCACAGCTCTTATATCAGAGGATGAAATGGTTGTGATGTCCTCTCGTAGGAGTCACTATCCGGGTAGCTTTTGGACAGTCAGAGACAGAGTTCAAAATAAAAATAAAACTTTATTGTCTTCCTTAAATTAAATTGACAAAAATCTTATGTACATATTTACAATTTAGTTTAGTCTTCTCAGTACCTGGCCTATTTATTCAAATTAAGTTTGACCTTGTTGTAAAGTTAGTCTTATCGGCAAGCGAGTGTGTTTTTGAAATTTTACGTGAACGTTGTATCGATTTAATAACAGCGGACGATAGGTACAAAGAAAAGAAAGGAACTTAACACGTCCCTTAAGTGATTCGGGTTAATAGGACACTCCTCGACAGTCTCAACACGACTGCTTCGGAGTACGGGTAATGAAGAGCTCAACACGCTCTTCGGGTAACGGCGGTCGGTATGGAACGGAGCAACTTGTGAACTCAACACGTCCACAAGCCGGGGTAGGGAAGAAGAGAACCTTCAGTCAACACCTGTCGATTCTGCCTCTATGAGGAAATGTTGCGGTTTATATAGCGGAGCTTGGTAATTAGATTTGCCCTTTTTACTGTCGATACACTCCTACTACATGGGTCGGTTCGCGCGCACGCTGGTTTAACGGTGATGGCTTGGACTCATCGTTACATGGTATTACATTCGCTTGAATGGCCAAATTCCCTATTGTTTCGAAATTGTTAATCTTTTTTGACAGTTTTCTGCACTTTCTCATTATTTTCTCAACGCAAATTTCATTCTGAACATGATTTAGATTTTCCACAAAATTTTTCATAAAATAATGTATTTTAATATGATTTTTTAGTGATTAATTAGATGTATTGAGAAATTGAAACAAATCATCGTCTTGCAATTTTCACATTTGTAATTTATTAGTTGTAATTTTTTTATTTATTTTGCTTCACCACTTAGGGTTATTAGCACGACAAAATACAAAAAGTGATCAAGAAAAATACAACATGCATAGACATATACAAAATATCAATTACAAAAAAGGTTTACAATTAGTCCAGGCTGTGAGGTCGCTCCCGTTGGGAAAATGTTTCTGATTCGTTTTCTTCGCGAATTCCGGTTCAAAAATGTCCCCTTTAAACAAATCTGAAGGGTGCCGGGCGAAATTTTTGGGCAGAAATTGTTTAAACAATTTTTTTAAACAAATTCCAAAAATATCTTTTTTTTAATCTGGAAAACATTTTTTAGGTTTTTTGGGTTATTCTAAACAAAAAAGGTCTCCTGTCATTTTTCTCTAAAGTTGATAGTTTTTGAGTTATAAGCGATTTAAAGTCTGAAAAACGCGAAAATACACATTTTTGATGCGTGAAAACACATATGTAAATTATTATTTTTGAGGTTACCAAGTATCTAAATTGAAGTTTAAACATTCAACTTCAAGATTATAAAGAGTAATCAGGGCTTATTTTAATTTAGACCGTTGTTTTTTAATTGTTAAATATGCGCGTACACTCGACTTTTCAGCCGCCGCGGTGCGGCGCACTAGCGTGCGCCTCTGTCGTGCTTATGCATAGTTTACATATACTTACACATACTTACAAATAATTATTGTTTATTGAGTATATATTTATTTATATCAATTGAGTTATAATATAAATTTCGTAAAGTATAAACTACATTTTATTTAAAGTCTAATAATAGTTACATAAAATAATTGTATCATATTGAATATGATACAATTGATGAACTGAATATTTGTATCATATAATGAATTAAATTTTTCAGTCACACTGTCTTTTCCTAAAACCTAAAGAATCTACTTTAGGTTTTTGCACTAACTTAATGTTGTTGATGTTATTACAAAAAATACAAACTAAATTTTCTTCGGTAAGTTTTCTTTTAAGAAGAGCTACGGAAAAAGACATTTTAAATCCATTCACAATTTTAATAACACATTAATAATATAATACCCTTTTAGTGGGCATTAAACAATAGTCTTCCTAATGATCGTTTAAGTAACAGCAAAACAAGTATGAGCGCGCGATTGTTAAACAGGTTGTTAAAATAATTTAAAAATATTATTTACAATTGATATAAAGAAATATATACTCAATAAATAATAATTATATTGTTCAAATTTGGAAAAAACTATATACGGTCATTACATTGCGATGATTGATTTATTTAATTAGTCCAATGACAATAATTAATACCTACATAAATAAATTATAGAAAAAACTATGTTAATAAACTTCAAGTATTTGTTTGGATTTTTTTGCGTAAGTATATGTAAACTTGTACGATACAGGCGCACGATAGC